CATCCGGTAGTGTCTTTCATTCCAACATAAGAAAACATTTCTGGAATCTGCATCTGAAATAGTATTTAGATGTATTTACACAGTTTATGTATCTCAGAGGGGACATGGATGCATTTAACCTGCAGTTACAGATGCATAAATAATGTTTTGTTTTTAACATAAAATGTTAAATATTGATATTTTTAAAATGATTTAAAACATGAAGAAAATAGTTGAAATGTGAAATTAAAACCGCCAGTAGGTGGCAGCAATTGAGCAAAAACAGGCCATTTTGTGTCTAAAATGTAAGTCACTTATTGCTAACTTTATTGAACTTGTATAAAATGATTATTAAATTTATCGTGCTGATATCTGCAGAAAAACGGTACTCGTTGTGTGATATATATTAAGTTAACTAATAACTATATTAAATTATATAAATATAAAAAGCATACAGAAGCATTTTGCCGTATACAAATTAGAATGCCTAGAGTTTTGAGTTTTAATAGACTAATAAATCACGTGCGTGCACTCTGTGTGTGATTTGGTGATATAGCCTAATCGATAATGTCAGATCACACATCATTACAACAATATTGTATTATCGCACACCCCAGCCTCGACTTGAGTGGGAAATGAAATCGACGATTGTGCATGCACTTGCATGAGCAAAGGTGTTTTTAGGAGTCTAACTTGCAGACGCCAGACCACTGATTTGTCAAACCTGCCACTAGTGTTCTTCTGACTTCTGACTATTTTGTAGTAAGTAACGAATATGCTTCGGGGAAATGTATTGGAGTAAAAGTATACATTTTAATTAGGAAATGTAGTGGAGTAAAAGTGAAAGTTGGCAGAAATATAAAAACTCAAGTAAAGTACAGATACTCCCAAAAATACTTAAGTACTGTAACGAAGTGTTATTACTTCGTTACATTACACCACTGGTCAAAAGAGCTTTTAGGCTTTTTGTGATTCGTGCAGCGAATAGAAACGAAACATTATCCAGTGCATTTTATCTTTCCAGATGTCCTGCAGCGATTAGGGATGAGGTGTGATTTATTTGCCTGAAGTGATATTCCCTGTTATGAAGTGAAAGGGCTTCCTAACCCCTGAGTTTTTAAATATTTGTTTCTAATGCTGGTGGTGTTTGGGGTGTTAGGACAAATCACCTTCATCCAATTTGCACAGATAAGACACTATACAGTCGGTTCCCCTCCCCCAACACAGTAGCTAATGCCTTTCTATTGTGTGCGACAGGATGTGAAGGACCTTATGGAAATACAGATAAATCTATATAAAATAAAACAGTGTTTTAATGTGTGACTTTTCAGTCAGATGAGTTAAAGAGTTAAATATTTCATTATGAAAATTCTGTTATCATTTACTCACCCTCGTGTCATTCCAAACCTGCATAACCTTGAGTTCTTTTGAGGAACATAAAAGAAGGTATTTTGAGAAAGGTCTTTTTTGTCTTACATTCTTCAGAATAACATCTTTTGTTTTCTCTAGATGAAATAAAGTCATACAGGTTTTTAATGACATGAGGATGAGTAAATGATGACAGAACTTTCTTTTTTGGTTGAAATATCCATATAAGAGCTCATTATTTCCTCTTTAATTCCCTAAAAGTTTGCACAATGTCACATCAGTAACGGGTTTGCTTTGTGTCTTTCTTTTCAAGAGTGTGAAGGGTTAGTTAATGCTACCGGGTATTATTTATTATCGGACTTTAAGTGTTTGCTTTGGCTTGAGCATAAAAGGCTAGAGCAGAAGAAGTCACTCAACGCCAAGTCACAAGCTCATAGTAAGTCAATTTTTAATATTTAATGTAATCTTATAAGATTGAGGACAAGGGTCAGCTGGCCCTTGCTGTTATTACAGTGAACCCTTCCTCTGCTCACCCTGGTGACTGCATTCCAGCTGCGTTCTGGATGGGATATCTGATTGCCATGGTAACTGAGAGAGGCCCTTGCATCTGGGGTCTTGTTTCCTCTCACCCTACACCCCCCCACGAAACTGATCCCATGGCCTCTGTCGCCCACTGGCCGTCCACCCAGACCTTTCGTATGCCAGCTGGTCAGTGTGATCACAAGCCTAGATTTAATTAGATAGCAAGTAGAGGAACCAGCAGCATGGAGTGAACAAAGTGGGAACTGCTAATCAGACATAATTAGAGGGTTAGAAAAGACTGAAAAAGAGTAAAAATTTTAAAACATTGACACAAACAATTTTAGCTTGCAGCAGTTTTCAATTTCTTATTTGATAGGATAAATGAATAATGAGGAGTGAAAATGATTATTGTATATATTTTTTATGTTCCTAAAAAAAATGCATTTGACTTGATAAACAGTGAGTTGGCCTACTTTCAGTCCAGTTGCTTGCAGTCTCTCTCCTCTGCTGTGACCTCAGCTGCTTCAACTCACTTTTCTGCTACTATGCGTTGTTTCACACCTCATGTTCTGTCTGTTCCCACAGGCTAGGGCTGTGCCTGCAGTTTCATTTCATTTTTGGAGGAGCTTTAGACAGGCTGGGCAAGCGAACTCCCCGGCTTTGTGCCAGCAGCCGTCCCTAGGCAGCTGACCAAGCTCCTTCT